TGATTCAAAAATTAAATTACTTGCTTTGCATCGAATCTATTATATCTGCTATGAGAAGCGGGGAAACGAGAATGTTTTTTATATACAAAAGATAATAATTGTTTAAAAACAGTTTCACTGTTTATAATTTCAACATATTTTTAGATACAATGTTACAGTAACTGTTCTTATTTCTTCTTTAATTTTCTAGCATGTAAACTTTTAAATTCTTTGCGTTTTTCAAAGTATTAACACGTTTTCACGAATATAAACTGCATGTTTAATTACAGAATGATACCGATGTCTTTATCTGGCATATTCTTGGCTTGCGTAATTGGTATATTTGTATACTATCAATCTCTTTACAACGTCTGGATTTTATTATACACAATTAGCGTTATTAGATCAATTTTGGTAATTAACACATATGGTTTTCCTTTTAAGGTACCCTGTAGTGCTAAAAGATGAACCATTTCACAGTCAGGAAAATCCATTCATGTACATACAAGTGACACATTTACCACCTGTTAAGGGATAGTTGATTCATACTCTTTCTTTATTGTATTATTAGACATTTTCAATTGTACACATAAACATTCTGATAAAATACATGTATGTGCATACTCGTGTATTTTCAAATTATAAGATCATGCAAAACACACGCCTTGGCTCAAGTTATATTGAAATAATTAATTTGTATTCTCTTGTATAAAATGACAAAAAATCACAAATAAGCAGAAGCTAAACTAACTTTTTTTCAAGACCACACCAAGATTGGTAGACTTAAGCTTGGGTTGAGAAAACGTACCGTGTTTATCGATTTGATCTTATTTATTCTAGTTTAGAGTTCATTCCTGAATGACAAAGTAAAGCTGCTTACAATTTAGTACAGTGTTAGTATAATAGTGCATTTCTTCCTACACCTGAGATTCATGTAGTATTTGCAACTGGACGTTTACACAAATAAATTCATCAACCCATTTATTATGTGTCTATAAGATGTAAAAAAATATCAGTTTACTGTTACAATTCATCGTCTTAGTTAAAGTTTCCGTTCTGATACAAGCATATCGAATTTTAAACTCTGCTGTAAGGAAAGTTATGAACATTTTAAAGCATTTGTGTTTTGTTATGCAAGCAAGATCTTAAAAAAAATCCCCATTACTGTTTTAAATATTTTCCATGGTTCTGGAGTAAAGCTTTGGTGGTTTTCTTATTTATTCAAATAGAAAAAAAAATCATCGGTCCGACATTTAAAAAGCACCCTGCCATTTTTTAATATCATTAATTATATCTTCAATCAGTTCTGTTTTGAAACGGGAAGAACCATATCTACTCCAATTCAAATATTCGCTCGGAGTGACTCTCTGAAACCATCAATACGTGAACTTTGCTGCAAAAATTACTATACAATATATGGATTTTTTTTCCCGTAAATGCGAAATAATCGACACATCTTACAGCATTTACTAGGGTCTGGATGGGGTCTTTCATATATGTGTTCTATGATAATTTAGGTTATATTTCTCTATTTTTTTTTATATTTTATGTCCATTGTCATGATTATTTTCTATTCTGTATATATTAGACCCTTTTTATTTAATTTTTTGGGAGTAAATTATTTTCTTTTTTCTTCCTTTAGCTCTAATCACGACCTTCATTTACGTTTGTTGTGCATGCGAGATATAAACTGCAGTCTCGCAAAGCTATACCTGTGTAAAGACAACTAAGCAGTATCAATGTTTCATATAATAACTATGAAGTAAATAAATTGCATTTCTTTACGTACATGAATACATTCGACAAATGTTTGCAAAAATAAGCAAATATTTGTCAGCATTTTCTGGTTGTAAATGTTATATAAACCGCGGTCTGTCAAAACTTTGCATACCTGTGTAAAGATATGTTGCAAATATCAATATTTAGCAAAATAACTATAATACTGGAAAGTATTTAAGGAATGACTGTAATATTTTTTCTGTCTATGAAGAAATAACATAAAAAATTTGGTGCACACTGAATAACCCGCGTAGCGGGTTATTTTAAAGTGTGCACCACATTTTTTATGTTATTTCGAATAGACAGAAAAAATATTACAGTCATTTCTTATAATTTAATTCTAAATTCCATTTTAAACCTGAGTAAACCATGAAAAGACGTTGATGACGTCACGGTCACATGATAAAATTATGTCTATAAGCTGATAAACAAAACAACGTCAGCTAATCAGAAGACGCGTTACATCCAAAATTAAATTATTAGTAAATAAAATACATTTCTTTACAAACATGAACGATATCGACAAACGTTTGCAAATGTAACACAAACATTTGAAAGCATTTACATTGGTTGTAAATGTTTTATAAACCGCGGTCTCTCAAAACTTTGCATACGTCTGTAAAGGTATTTTGCAAATATCGATATTTATCAAAATATTTATGATAATGGAAAGTATTAGTAAATAAAATACACTTTTTTACATACATAAACGATATCGACAAACGTTTGCAAATATAACACAAACATTTGACAGCATTTACATTGGTTGTAAATGTTTTATAAACCGTGGTCTCTCAAAACTTTGCATACGTCCATAAAGATATGTTGCAAATATCAATATTTAGCAAAATAACTATAATGATGGAAAGTATTAGTAAATAAAATACATGTCTTTACATACATAAACTATATCGACAAACGTTTGCAAATATAACACAAACATTTGACAGCATTTACTTTGGCTGTAAATGTTTTATAAACCGCGGTCTCTCAAAACTTTGCATAGTCTGTAAAGATATGTAGCAAATATCGATATTTATCAAAATATTTATGATAATGGAAAGTATTAGTAAATAAAATACACTTCTTTACATACATAAACAATATCGACAAACGTTTGCAAATATAACACACACATTTGACAGCATTTACATTGGTTGTAAATGTTTTATAAACCGCGGTCTCTCAAAACTTTGCATAGTCTGTAAAGATATGTTGCAAATATCAATATTTATCAAAATAACTATAATACTGGAAAGTATAAGTAAATAAAATACATTTCTTTACATGCATGAACGATATCGAGAAACGTTTGCAAATATAACAGAAACATTTGACAGCATTTACACTGGTTGTAAATGTTTTATAAACCGCGGTCTCTCAAAACTGCCCACACCTCTGTAAAACAGTTATGCAAATTTTAAACTTTGCATATATCTCCTATCCTGGAAAGTGCTTGCAAATCTTAGGCCTATCTTTGGAATATGAATAAAGCTATGGAAATAAACAATTATCTTTAGCATATCTTTGAGGACGTCCTAAATAATGCCAAAGGAATAATACATTTACATATACATTAGTAGGTCCGCAAATATATCTGGCAGAAAAGTAGTTACATTTGTCAAACATTTACATGATTGCCCAAATTGATGTAAATCTGCCTTTTCGTGTAGTGTATGTCCATATGTATAACTTTTTTTCTGACACAGTTTTCACGCAATTGACAGCTGTTTACAATTTGATTGATTGATAAATTGATTTCTGGTGTTTAACTCTACTTACCGCACTATTGGCTATATCCCGGCGTTCAGTTTTTATTGGTGGAGGAAGACGACGTGTCCGGAAAGATCCACCGACCTTCGGCAGGCAACTGACCATCTTTGTCAATTAAGCTTACAGTCGAACGCAATTGCCACTTGCAGGGTTCGAAATCACAACCCCAGTGTTTATTGGCTAGTGATAAAGTAGTTGAACTGCTTAGATCTCTTGGTCACTGAGACCCTTGGCAATATGCCAGTTATCATAGTCAATTTGATGAAATTTCCCGAATAAAGATACAGAACTAGGCTGTTAAACTCTTCTTACAATTCGCAAATTCATGCAGAACAGCACTACGCAAACTGATTGGTTTTTTTTTTTATTTTATTTCTTTCAAATAATCACGGAAATACATTTTGTTCTACGTTATCAACTTTTTGTAATTGTCTAATATAGGAACATAATTATGTTTGTCGGCCAAATCATCTAACAGTTTACAAAGCATTATCATCTGATTGTGTACAACAAAAGATCGATGGATTGATTGGTTGTCGGTGTTTTACGCCACATTAAGCACTATTGGCTATAACGTGGCTGTCAGTTTTTATTGGTGGAGGAATCCGGATTACCCAGGAGAGCCACCGACCTTCGGCAGGAAAACTGACAATCCAAGTATATTAAGAATGGAGTCAAACGCACCTGCCACGTGCGGGGTTCGAATGCTCAATTTCAGCATTGACAGGCTAGTGATACAGTAGATGAACTTCTTCGACAACCCGGCCGCCGAGGTCCCTACAATAGTTAAAAAAAATAGTGAGGTAACCAATAGTTTAATCAATTCATTTATATGAAATCTGAAATAGAGTATAGGGTTTATCTTTGATAAATATTAGCCAAAACCAAAAGTAATACCCACAGCATTCAATACGTTAAAAAAACAAATTGCATAACCGATGAATTTGAAAGGACGTCCTCATTACAACAAAATTCATAAGTTTACGGTCATTTGTTGAAAATAATACTCATGTATATGAAATCTTCGTAGCAGTAGACAGTACCTACCCAAATATTTTAACTAGTACATTTCTTAACTGAAGTAGTCTAGTACCTATACTAGAATTTAAACACACGTCTAAAATCGGACTTCTTCTTACTTTAAATACTTGATAAAGTCAGACAAGTTTTTTGGAAAGATACTACCTGTATAGAATCTACTTTCGACTATCCTGTTATATTTGTAAAATTGATATATCAATTCAAAATGTAAAACATTATCTATATTTGTCTCGTGTACAAATAAACGTGTGTAATGTAACGCATGCTTATATACACGTATCTTTGACTCAGAGTTTTTTTTTGTGAAAAAGTTTCAATGATTAAAGCGCTTCGAACACAGATAACACTGTAGATTTGAAAACATTTGATTTAAACATATAAAATGATTCATCAAGTTTTATAAAAGTCCATATCAAAGTTCATATTAAAGTGAATACAACTGTATTTCCTCATTTACTTCCTTAATATATATGATTTTAGTTAGATTACACAGGAAGTTATGAAACAAATATAATCATACGTTTGATGAAGCAACTCTTAAGGTCAGTTGTTATAATTAATTTCGATTGATAAAAATTGCTTTGGAATCTCTATTCTGTCCTTGATATTCTACAGTCCTGTGTTTGGCGTTATGACATCTTCTATCATGTATAAATAGTCAAAATAAAATTTCCCCCCTCTCAAATAGAATAGATCTGCAATGATGTACTTTAACTGATTAAATTTACAAAAAGAATTATATAATACTAGAATAATAGAATAATATTAATAATGATTATTATGTATTTCATCTGTACAAGTTTTGTAATATGACCATTTTAAACGTCTTTGTAAGCAAAACGCAGCGCTTCTTGAACGCTGATACTAGTAGAACAGATTTCAGAGCACATATCTTTCAACTGTAAGCTCTAAGTTCATTTCTTTAGGTGACTAACAAAAACTTTCAAGAATGCGTATAACATGACACTTGTTATGTAAATTGGATTATTGTAATTTCTTCTTTTAGAAATGGCATTGTTTGTCCTTCATTTTTTATTTGTTATTGTTCCCTTGGTACCGTCTTATTTTTCTTTAAACATACCTGAACAATATAAGAACAAATATTCAACAGACAGGAACAATAAATATCTATTTATATTAAGCATTTCTTTAATGGGCAAAATTTAAATCCTATGTAAATTAATTGTAAAATTTACCTTGCTAAATATAAACATGTATTTTAAGGACTTTGTGACGAAGAGGAAGATGATTTTCGAAAAATCCACTTTTTGTAATGTGACTTTCATACTTGACATTGAATATTAATAATATACAATAGTAATATACATAAAAAAGGAGATAAGTTTAAAAAATAACAACATCGCAATAGTTGTTACATTGTTCATGTTAAACAAAAAAGACAACTAGGAAAAGTATCCACACCGAACGACATGTTCTATTGGCTCGATATCTGGACAAATAATTAGTAAATTTCTTACAGGCGAATCCTCATACGAAACACAAAATATTCTTAAAATGCAATAATAAGCAATTGGTTTATTGTCTGTCATATATGTTTTTCGTAAATTGTTTTGTCATAAATAAGGCCGTTAGTTTTCTCAATTGAATTGTATCATATCTTTCATGTCTTTTATGTCGAATCGTTGTATAAACGACTATACGGTATGGGTTTTTTTCATTGTTGAAGGCATTCCGGTTGCCTATAATAGCATACACTAACTTCATTTGAACTTTGGTAGATAGTTGTATCATTGCCAATCATACCACATCTCCCTATGTTTATAATGACCACTAATGATTTTGGACAAATGCATTGAACATGCAGCGGGATTAAAATGGTGTTTTTATAAGTACTAAACCATTCCTACATTTTGCAGATAATTGGAAGAACAAAGTGAAATCAGAAAAAGAAATACATTCAGTCATAAGGATATGTCAGATTGCAAAACATAATCAATTTCAAGTATCATTTAAGAATGGTATTAGTTATTGTACACATACCATATTCGAAATTTAGAAAAGATGATTGAACACAATGTTGTCTTCAATTCAAAATCTTTAATATGCAAATCAATAATAAAAAGCCTGTTTTTAAGTGAAATTCCTGATATGATTTTCACTTTCAAAACAAACATAGTGATACATATTTCTCAAAACTACATTTTAAATGTTATCAAAGTTTAAGATCCACAGCATAACTATTCTATGTTGCGTTTAATAAATGTTTAAAATTAAACATTAAATGTGAAATATTTCAAATAAACTTGTAATTTTATTAATATCCGAATCCTCCTCTAAATCGAACTCGTCCTTATTATATATTATGCGAGTTAATCTAAAGATTTTTTTCAGACATTATGAAGCTTACACTTCTTACGATTTTACCACTGGTGTTAGCAAATACAACCTGCAACAAGTACTGTAAATGTAGTGTGGAACGAGGACAAAAAAGCAAAATATACGTTGGAATATGCGATGGAAGTTCAACACGAAATTTAACATACATTCCAGAATTCCCAGATGGAACAAGGAAAGTCGTATTTATTAACAACGACTTACAGATACTATCTAAAGAGTCATTAGACAATATATCCTCGACGCATTCCCATGTAACTGACTTGAACTTAAAATACAACAAAATAAAATTCATTCACAACAATACCTTCAGTGATATGATTTGGTTATGTAAATTAGACATTTCTGGTAATAATCAACTTAAAAGTAGTGATCTAGCTTACAGCTTTTACAGCTTACCAAAACGTTACATTAATACATTGGTATTAAAAAGCATGAAACTCAAACCCTTTGACGGCATGTTTGGTGGACTTAAAGGGTGCAAGATTCAGAAAATTGTCATGACCAACAATAATATTGAAACATTCAATGGAACATGGTTTGCACAGTTAAAAGAGTTTATCAGTCTAGACATAAATTGGAATAGAATATCAAGTCGAAATTTGAATCTAAAAGGACTCTCTACCTTAACTTGGTTACATCTGGGCGACAACCCGTTATCTGAAATCCCGGCGTTTTGTGATGACGGACTTTTTAAGTTGAAGACATTACATCTTTCATATACACAGCTGCGGTCATTTGCGGACATGAAAGAAAAATTCAGATGCCTACAATCATTAAAACAATTGTTTTTAAACGGCCTCGACATAAATCAATTGCATAACAATACATTTTCAGAACTAAAGAGCTTAAAGGAACTCAGTTTGATGGAAATGCAAGGACGTAGCTTAAAAATAAACCCGTTTGCATTTAATAGCTCTTCTTTAGAACAATTAAGCTTTTATATGACTAAAGGATTCCGTTTTTCCAAGTGGTCTGCACAAATCGGATTTTTTGTTCCGCATACACTTTTCGCTCAATGTAGGAATATTCTTTCTCTTGATTTGTCACACAACGTGTTCGATTTTACACAAAAAGCGATTAGAGAAATGTTCAAACCTCTACAAAAACTACAGAATCTTTTTTTGGAAAATTTACAAATTAGTTATATTCCCAGGTACTTCCTTAACCAATTCCCCAAGCTTAAGGAGTTTTCTATGGCAGACAACAAGATAGTACCATGGGCAGATGGTTCCTCAACGTTTAAAGGAGTTAAGGCACTACAAAGACTTAATTTGGAGAATAATAAAATTAGCATGATAAGTTCAAAATCTATACCATCAATAGTGCTTGATAATTTAAAGAAAATTGATCTTTCAAATAACCATTTCACGTGTTCTTGTGACATAATGTGGTTCAGAGAGTGGATGAAATCAACAAAGGTAATCATAAAAAATGCAAAAGAATACAAGTGTGACAACTCAGAGTTTCTGATCAATTACAATCCGACTCCCGAAAACTGTAAAAATATCGTTTTAATTATTGCAGTGTCAGTTGGATGTCTAGTCGGTATTATTCTATTTGCCACAATTATTGTCTACTTTTGTAGATGGCGCATTCGTTTCCAATTATATAACATCCGATCCCGCTATAGAAATTATCACAAGCTGAAACAAAATAATTGTGTTTATGCTGCATACGTTATATACTGCTATGAGGATTTTAAGTGGATAAAAAACAAACTTATCAAGGAAATAGAAATAGAATATGGCTTCAAATTATGTATTCCTCATAGGGATTTCGAACTTGGGAAAGTTTTCGCGGACAATATCGTTGATCACATGAATTTGAGCAAAATGGTTATACCTGTTTTTTCTAATAACTTTTCCAAAAATGAATGGTGTCTCTTTCAGCTTGATGTGGCTCGAAGCAAACTTACTAAAGAAGGATCATTAACAATTTTCCCTGTTATGCTTGAGGAAGTTGAATTCAAAAATATGAATGCAGCAATTTACTCGTTCATTAAGTTATCAAATTATGCAGCTTGGAGCGAAGACAGTAACGCAAAAGAACTTTTCTGGGACAAAATCAAGGATCATTTAAAGAATACTTAAGACAGATTATTTCAGTTTAATTTTCAATAGTTTAGAATAAACAAGGTGCATACTACACAGTTGTCCTCAATGAACTAGCTTCACTAAAGTTTAACTCATAATCATTCCTAAAGTTTCATTTCCCAATTGATTTAAGGCCGTTGAGGTGAGATTTCAAACCAATTCATTGATAATTAATATCACATGGAATAGTCGAAACAAAACATTTCAAACAAATCATACAGCACCATGCAAATGGAAAGTATAAAAAATTATGCGAACGGAAATCAAATTGAAGGAAAAGTCAAAGCCAATTTAAAGAGTTAGTGACTGATTGCGTTTCCATACAAAGCGAATATGAATTGCAATCTGTTCTACTATGTACAATTTATATATACATGTTAGCCAATATGATAAAAAAAAATGGGGAATGTGTCCATGGGACACAGAGGATTCCCCCGCTTTCATATAATGTTATAAAGGTTATAAAGGGACATAACTCAAGAACAGGGTAAAACTTAATGCCCCGTTCGCTACGGCGGGGGCATAAAAACAGGCTTGGAGAATTGCAAATTTAATATTTCTTACATAATGTTTATACTGTTATGGTAGTGGTATATTCGCAACAGTATATTTAATAATTCTGAAAAACACACAAATAAAAGAATGTTTATGTTGAAGTAACATAAAGAATGTGTTCGACAAAATCAATGCACACAATTTACAGAGTAGTTATTTAAAAGATACAGGCCTTATAATTCCTCAAATTTATAGCTCGCCATGAGAGTAGCCGACCTTCTCTTTATTAAATTATTTGAAACTTAATAAGTACTATAAAAATTGAAAAAGAAAACATCTATAAATCGCATTAGCATAAGCTTTTTAAAAGATACGCGAAAGACAAAATCCAGAGTTAACAAAAAAAGACATCCGGAGCTAACCATATGACCTCGAAGGAATACCAAGTGACCATGTTGTAGGATTAGCTCTATATTAAACGGCATGCTTTCTGACAAACTGAATAAACATATATGTCACCTCATTCTTTATTGAAAACTAAACAAGAAGACTTTATCAGAACTTCAGTTATCCATTTCATCCAATTCTATCAAGTATGTAAGTCAATCGCAACTACTCGGCCATTCTCGATACGCCTATTGTAGGCGTAGCGAGAATGGCCGAGTAGTTACGATTTGTATGTGAGTACGTAACACGAGAACATTTCAACAAGAACGAATTTATGTGTCTTAAACATGTAACCCACCTGATGAAAACACTATCCTGCATTTAAAATGAAATTTATAGATAAAAATTCCTTAACAGATTGCATTTTAGAAGGTGACTGTGCTCGATTAGGGTTGTACTTTGTGATGTTGTTTAACGAGAATGCCAGTTTAAAATGCTATATGAGTACATTAGTACATTGAATAAAAAAGACAATTCCAGGCAAAATTAACAAGGTATATCTACTAGTATTATTTTATCTATTGCATTGATGTACAACTAATAGGGGGTCAACGAATTCGTTTACACAACATAAATCATTGATGAGCATTTTTCACAAGAAAAAAATAAGACAATACGAATTTCGATGCATATTGCAGTCACGACGTCTTGCTATATTTTGCCTTTGTGTTGGTTTATGTTCAATGCGAAGTAGAAGTCACGACATAGTGAAACGACAAAATATAAGTATCGACAGTATGTAGGACAATAAGTGTTTATTTTAGAGTGCATATTTGGTATGAATATATAGTATACATAATTTGCAAAAGATACCCGTTAATTTGGTAGTGGCTAGAAAATGAAAATTGGAGATACACACACATATAATAGAAAAATTATTTTAATGTGACAACATATGAAACAAGAATATGTGTCCATACAACATATAACAGCCCCCTCCCCCTTTTTTTCCCTGTATCACATTTCCATGTTAAGTTAACCGCAGAATCAAGATAGAAACCCTAATTTGGTATATAATTTTAAAAGTTATAAATCTTGCACGGGACAGACGATCAGAGGAAGCCAAATCTAGATCAGAAAATATAACACCCCTCTACTATCGTAGGTGGAAGATAAAACTAAACGAATCATATTTAATAAAACTGCAATGAAATATTCCATACATGTCCGTTTTTATACGTATTTGTAAATAGTCAAATATTTCAGAAAACAATTTGTAGGCAATACCTTTAAAGTGCACACCATTACTGTTCCTATAACCAATGCATCATTATAATTATAAAATGGGAATTAAATGAACAACTGATTTGTTAAAGTGTAATAATTGTTTATTTTGAAGATGCATCCTCATCAATTCCTTTTCATAAAATAATATGGAAAGATAAAAAGTACTTTAAAAACTCATCATAGATACCAGGTTTAAAATTGTGGACGCCAGACGCGCGTTTCTTCTACAAAAGTCCAAAAATTGAGAGGTTTTGTCAAATACAGCTCTGGTAATCTATTCCCAGGGTAGAACATTCTCAGTATTTCGAAAAAATTCAAAGTTTTATTAACATTTAATCTACAATTATTATCTGATGAATGTATACTGTCACAAAAGTATCTTAAAACAAATTATAGAAATATGCTAAAGAAGGTAAGTCGTCTACACTTTTTACATTCGAGTGTGTTTGAAACTCCTTTCATAACCGTATAACTTATATAAACGATTAAAAGAAATGAAAATATCATCTCGCTTCAGAGTATTAAAATTTCGATTTGTAGTTATTTTTTATTTTAAAATCACACTTTGAGAAGAAGCAAATGGAAATGGAACTCTTTATTGGAGAAGGTAAAAAAGCCAAGTTGGTATAATTGAATGGTTTACATCTGTTTCTATGGGCTTTAAAAGTTTAATGTAGGTGCATAATTTAGGATGTTTTGCATCTGATATACGTATTTTTACTTCAATTATAGTATGGAGCTTCGAGATATTTGTTAACTTTTGAACTAAAGACAAAATTTCACAAAGCAGTCAATTGTGGTATGTCCAATATTTGCCCGTCCAAAATGGATGCGCCGATTGATTTTTAAAGAAAATAGTTAATGGAAATGGGAAATGTGTCTAAGAGAAAACAACCCGACCAAAGAGCAGAAAACAGCCTAAAACCACCAATGGGTCTTAAACCCAGCGAGAAAATCCCGCACCCGGAGGCGGGCTTCAGCTGACCCCTAAACAATAATGTATACTAGTTCAGCGAAATGGATGCCACACTTAACTCCGAAACATACAAATGAACCAAAATTTTTAAAAAACACACAAGACTAACAAAGGCTAGAAGTTCTGGACTTGGGTCAGGTGCAAAAATGTGGCAGGGTTAAACATGTTTTGTGAGATCTCATCCCTCCCCTATACCTCTAGCTAATGTGGAATAAACAAACATACAGCAATACGCACAGTAAAACTCCGTTTAAAGAAGTACGTTTTGTTGAAGTTTGGACATTTTATCTTATGTTTCTGTTATGTATTTATAGTAATTATAAGTGTAGGTATAATAAACAAAAATGTTTAATATTAGTTCAAAAATACCTTTAAATCAGTTTGGTTAATGACTTTGATTTTGTCATGATTATTGCTGAAATAGTTATTGCTCTAGTGTCCTTGCTTCATCATTTACTGGTATTTTTTCATCAGCTACTTTTACAATATTTGAATTGCATAAATTCACATTAAACACATATGACTCTGGTTGATAGTTGCCAAAATGGAAAGCATACCACACATTCGTTTTATATAGTGTGGTGTTTTTTCTGACAAGAAAACAATAGGAAGTTCTGAAGATTCATTTGGGAAAAAATGTCAAAGAGAGGTATAAGGAATTTTCTAGATATTTAATTTCCGAGTATTCATACAATCAGTAGTCTCAGTCTGAATATATCACTGTTAAATGAATCGATGGGGTTTCTTCCTGTGGGAAGTGCTAATAGCAACCACGCATAATGTGTGTACCCTGTAAACATGTATGTGGTGATCTGAAAAAATCGACCAAATGAGAATGACAAAGAACTAACATGAGTTATCTATTCAATGAAAATATCACGGCCAAAGATATATATAAAGAAAAGCATTACAAAGTTCATTTCTTAGATATCTCATTGACTTAATTTAATAATGGTAATCAGCTTAAGCCTATCCAAGAACTATAAAAAGATCATGCATCATTCAACACCTGAAAATGAACTAACATTTGTAGTTTAAGTTGGCGATTTAGGGCCTGAGATATCGTTTAAATAGTCCTGGCTAATCTAAAATTATTTCTTGTGTCTTTTTGAGTCGTTTAGGTTGCTGTCTCATTGACCTTAAATACCTCACAGTTCCCTTTATTCACGAATATACTCTAGTATAGAAAAAGTACTTGAAAATTCGATGTTAAAAGACGCTGTTTCCTGCTTTCTGAATGCTGACCTGTATTCAACTCATTAGAATGATACTCAAACAATATTTCAAATAGAATACAACTCATGCCAAACTGATATAAATATTTAGCTTTTAAGGTCCACTAAACTCTATCAGTGATCTCTTGGTAGTGCGCTTGTCTCAAATGTGGGAAGTCATGTGTTTGATGGCTTGACAGTCAGACCATGATTTATTGAAAATTTATTCCTGCTTAAAATAAAATATACGAAGATTTCGTATGATTTCCAATGAGAAAACTATCCACAAGAGATAAAAATGATTTGGATGTAAACAACTATAGGTCATCGTACGGCCTTCAACGATTAGCAACATTCATTACATTTAAACCATTGTGGTGACGTCAGCCTATTCATTTACCGTGGATTCTTTTTCTAGAATCAACGCTTCCTAAATCTGCCGCTGAAATTGACTCACCAAATTATATTCAATTGTTTCCTTTTGTGTGCCTAATTTCATTAAGTTTGAATTGGCTAATTTACTGATTTCTGTTCACTAATGGAATTAATTTAAAAACTTGCCATTAATTTTTGTAATTTTTATATGCCTTCACTGGGAATCGAATCCTTCCTTGAAATCAGTTATGTGTGACTGACATCAAGACATCGACGAAACCTCTCGGCTACCAATGGGTTACACTATGATGTCTATTT